GTCAGTTTATTGTACACAATCGGTCAATTGCAGCTTGCCGTTGGCTGGAAACTGTACGTTTCTGTCACTGGAATGCACTAATCACCCAAAAAATATTACCGCCACCCGGCGTGTAAATGGATCTAACTCTTTGAACGTACAATGGTGGTTGTGAAGCAGAAAGTCAGTTTATTGTACACAATCGGTCAATTGCAGCTTGCCGTTGGCTGGAAACTGTACGTTTCTGTCACTGGAATGCACTAATCACCCAAAAAATATTACCGCCAGCCGGCGTGTAAATGGATTTAACTCTTTGAACGTACAATAGTGGTTGTGAAGCAGAAAGTCAGTTTATTTAGCACAATCGGTCAATTGCAGCTTGCCGTTGGCTGGAAACTGTACGTTTATGTCACTGGAATGCACTAATCACCCAAAAAATATTACCGCCACCCGGCGTGTAAATGGATCTAACTCTTTGAACGTACAATGGTGGTTGTGAAGCAGAAAGTCAGTTTATTGTACACAATCGGTCAATTGCAGCTTGCCGTTGGCTGGAAACTGTACGTTTCTGTCACTGGAATGCACTAAATCACCCAAAAAATATTACCGCCAGCCGGCGTGTAAATGGATCTAACTCTTTGAACGTACAATGGTGGTTGTGAAGCAGAAAGTCAGTTTATTGTACACAATCGGTCAATTGCAGCTTGCCGTTGGCTGGAAACTGTACGTTTCTGTCACTGGAATGCACTAATCACCCAAAAAATATTACCGCCAGCCGGCGTGTAAATGGATCTAACTCTTTGAACGTACAATGTGGTTGTGAAGCAGAAAGTCAGTTTATTGTACACAATCGGTCAATTGCAGCTTGCCGTTGGCTGGAAACTGTACGTTTCTGTCACTGGAATGCACTAATCACCCAAAAAATATTACCGCCACCCGGCGTGTAAATGGATTTAACTCTTTGAATGTACAATAGTGGTTGTGAAGCAGAAAGTCAGTTTATTTAGCACAATCGGTCAATTGCAGCTTGCCGCTGGCTGGAAACTGTACGTTTATGTCACTGGAATGCACTAATCACCCAAAAAATATTACCGCCACCCGGCGTGTAAATGGATCTAACTCTTTGAACGTACAATAGTGGTTGTGAAGCAGAAAGTCAGTTTATTTAGCACAATCGGTCAATTGCAGCTTGCCGTTGGCTGGAAACTGTACGTTTATGTCACTGGAATGCACTAATCACCAAAAAAAAATATTAAATGGATTTAACCACCCGTTGCGTGTAAATGGATCTAACTCTTTGAACGTACAATAGTGGTCATTTTAAATTTTCGATTCTTTGATAGCTGTGGCCCTGAGTAACGATTCTGTGTCCCTGAGTAACAATTCTGTGTCCCTGAGTAACGATTCTGTGTCCCTGAGTAACGATTCTGTGTCCCTGAGTAACGATTCTGTGTCCCTGAGTAACAATTCTGTGTCCCTGAGTAACAATTCTGTGTCCCTGAGTAACAATTCTGTGTCCTTGAGTAACGATTCTGTGTCCCTGAGTAACGATTCTGTGGCCCTAAAGTCTCAGTGGCCCTAACTCTGTCCCTAATTACAGACAGGTCTGTCTCTCTTGAATGACCGGAGGCTAATGGAGAATTCTAAGATGGCCGCGATTTATAGCTCCACCATCACACAGTGCTGGCTGGCTGCTGATTGGCTAATGCGATCACATGTCATGATTCATGACTCATGAATGCATTATGGGTCAGCGCGCCTTGTCTGCGCGCCTTCCCAGAGATCCCCGCCCCATCTTCTCTGTCCATTTTCTCCTGTCGCCACACATGTCGCCGCCATTTTTGGGAAAATTCGATTCGTGCATCCAAAGTTTGCTAATCTTCGGATTCGTCGCTTATCGAATTTTTCCAAATCTTCGGAACGAATTCCACTTCGTCATGTTCGATTCGCTCATCTCTAATTATCACCTCAAATACTCTCTACTGTAGAAAACTTATTTCCAAACCTTTAACCAGAAGCCGGCTTAACTGTCACTAATTCAAAATTAGATTTCAAATAGGGCAGAGAAGAGCGGTTAAAAACAGACTGCTCCAAATTGCTCACTTCACTGGCGTCTTCAAATGGTCGTAGTTTTAAAAACTATAAATCCTACAGTGAAGAGCTTTATATTGTGAGAATCACAAGACCCAGACCTACATTTTGATGCATAGTATGTCTCTGAAATATTAAAAATTAAGTTTTAATGAATGTCAATAGACGGCGTGAGTTGCAAACAAATTGTCATATTGTGAAAACTATCAGGACTATGGCTTAGCCGTGGACATTTTTAGTGGCAGCAGGGATAGCTGAACGTTTTGATATAAGTTTTGTGTAGGTGGGCTTGAAAATGAGGGAGTGATGGCATTTTAGAAATCATGTCCTGATTTTTCAACTCACACTCTAGCTTTTGTCAGCTCCCACTCTAGTTTTGAACATTCCGCCATTCATTCCGATGGGATCAATTTCACCACAAGAACGCCGATATTTCGTTAACCATTTGGCGAAACGTTCCACAAAGTAATAGTACACCAATCGGGAACAAATCGCACGTTTGGGTATATTACTTGTCTATGTAGTGTAAAAACTGTGGGAGGAGTTAGGGTGGTAAATTTGGCTATAATAATAAGAATATATATGTGAGATAACAGTAAGTGGTCTTGCCATGGAAGAACACTTAATTACTTTCTGCTATAAAACATATCCAATAAAAAAAATTACAAAATCAAATTCCTTCATAAATTTAGGCCAATATGTATTTTGCTACATATTTTTGGTAAAACAAATCCCAATAAGCATGCATTGATTGTTTTGCGTGAAAGTTATAGCGTCTACAAACTATGGTATATAAACTGGAATTTTTTTTTTTTTTTTTTAATACTAGTAATGGTGGCGATTAGCAACTTATAGCAGGACTGCAATAGTATGGCAGGCAATCCGATACCAACTGACACTTTTGACACTTTGTGGAAACCAGTGACATTAATACAGTGATCATTGCTAAAAATATACACTGTCACTGTACTAATGACCCTGGCTGGGAAGGGGTTAAACATCTAGGGTGATCAAAGGGTTAAATGTGTGCCTAACCAGTGTTTACGTGTGTACTGTGCTTTGCTTCCACTAAGGGATGTGCCAGTTTTTATTCCTGCTTTGCAGGGAAACAAAAACTGGCAAATTCCCGCTAACTGGACAGCGCTCTGTATTGTTTACATTGACAGTGCTCTGCCCTGTCAGTTCTGGTGGTTAATCATTGGCCAGCACCAGTTGATCAGCTTGTGCTGTGACTAATCACAGCACAGCCAGTGCACTCCCTACCCAGAACTGCCAGATCACGTATTAGATACGTGATCCAGCACAGGGAGGTGGTCGGCAAGCAATTAAAAAGCTGAACTCCCAGGGATACAGCTAAATGCAAAAATGAAACATACATGGGAACTGTTTTACCAGTCAAATAATTTGTAGTTGTTTATGCAATCTTTAGAATGACACATCTCTGCCTCATAGCACAGCCCTTTTAGTAGAGAAGAAGACCAGATTTTTCTCTGCTGCAGTTATGTAACACTTACAGTTCTTGTCCCTCCACAGCCTGTGACTGGATGTTAAAAATAGATTGATGAGCTCATCTCTCTGTTACTCTACTCTCTCCTACTATTAGGAAGTTCCTTGTTAGTACATAAGCACTGCAGTGCAATTGATTGGCTCCTTGCGCTGCTTTTCCCTCTCTCAATTTGAGCCCTGCTGTTCAAAAATTAAAAAATTGTAAGAACCAAATGCCATGTTAGGTACTTACACTGCTTGCATTTAAAATAATACATTTAATAATGTATTTATGCACGTAGAGCTGCATAATCCTTGTCTTTAATATCTGCCTGGAGTTCCATTTTAACCTCCCTGGCGGTATGATTATTTCAGATTTTTGGTGCTGAAAGCGGTACCATTATTTTGCATGGAAATATGTATTTTTTTTATTGTAGGCTGTAATTTTTAGGAAAAACTCACTGAAATCTGTCCGAACAAGAGTCTAGTAAACATCCCGGGTATGATAAAATTTGAAACACAAAATCATAAATTATAATTTAATAAATAATCATAAAAATAATATAAAAATAATAAAAAATTTTAATTCAATAATATAATCAAACCAAAAACACTGAAATGTGAAATAGAGCGCCAAGTTCGCACATTGCTGAGCTCAGTCGCAAAATCGTTTTCAGTTTCTGATGACGAATTTCCCCCACGAATCATTATCACTCAATTCTGTAAGTGGTTCTGATTTACTATCGCTGTTCTCTAGCTGATCTAAACCGCTTTTGACCTAAAGGGACACTTTTTGGACGCCATGGACATTTCTCAGTTTCCAGGCAGAAAGAACAGACAAAATGCAGGCAGGGCGCAGGACAAAGCACTAGGGACAATATGTATGTGAAATAGGTTGAAACAGCAATGTTTTACTGTGTAAAATGAAAAAAAAAAAAATGACATTTTTTAAAATTTTTAAATTTCCCGCCGCCGGCGGCGGCGGCGCCCGTACGTCCCGACGTCACAGGGACAGGACACAGAAGCCGTATGCCGGCATCGGCCGGAGGAGATGGCCGGGGACGCTGCAGGGGACACATCGTGGGAGCGCAGGGTAAGGTAAGTGAAGAACACATGCCGGAGCAGTGCCGCATGGTAATCCCGAGTGTAGCTCGGGGTTACCGCTTTTGGTACTGAAATGTTACCCCGAGCTACACTCGGGAATACCGCCAGGGAGGTTAAGCAAGCAGGCACCTTTTTAAATTTTACTAGGCTAACCTTAGCTGCTCTACATAAAAAAAGCCCATTTAGAGAGCCAACTTTCTAAAGCTTGTATTACACACACCACTGATTGAGTTTGGGGAGAGACTTGTCCCCATTGTCCCTGGCCTCCTGCTCTGTAGTACTGAGATTTGCCTCTAAATGTGGTTGCACTTTTTAGATTAAATATATGTTGATTTCTTTACCTTGTATAGAGGTGCCAGGCAGCGAACGTGATAGGCATGACTGCAGCGGTATAATCTGCCCACTTCTCCATCTGTCATTGGCTGATTGCACATAGCGCAATCCTAAGTAAAAAGATAAAAGATACATTATAGTGGCAATAAAAATACACAATAAAAGTGAAAACTGAGAAGTTGAATCTTATAGTGTCGCTCCAAGCCGGAGCATAGTATGCTTCCCTGCTGGTGCTCAGAAGTAGAAGAGCCAGCATCAGGTTTACCCACGTCTAGAGGTGCCGGTACAGAGAGTTTAAATCACCGCTCACCCAACCTGATCCATGTGAATGTAAGTAACAGCCTCAGCCAGCGCTGCTCCTCTAACCACAACATCTGATGTGTTTCACCCCACCCATTGGGGCATAGTCATAGAGCTTCTATGACAAAGCCTGATGAGCGGGGCTAAACGTGTCAGGGGATGTGGTCAGTGGAGCAACACTGGCTGAGGCTGTTACTTACACTCACATTGATTGGGTTGGATGAGGGGCATTTTAAACTCTCTATACTGGTACCCCTGAAAAAAAGAGAAGAGTTAAATATTCCTGCCATTGTAGCAATGCCACAGATTATCCTAGGTGGACTTCATGGAGCTACAACCAATGCCCATCCACATTTATAATGGTCCTGGTCATGCCTTCAGCAATTTGTTCTTTGTTAATTAGGCATTATTAGTATGCCTTATCAGTTTGTAATTCTCTGTTCATTGTGTAACTGCTCCATCTAGTGGCTGTTTGTATACACTGCATCGTTTCACAGTAGAAGTTTGACCCATTTCAGCTTCCATAGCTTGTAGCCTATGAACTCTGATTACATCATCAGCCCTGCTCATAGCAGCCATTTCCTCATCACAGACTCCATTCCTGTGGTAACCACGCTGCTGGTAGGATCCAACCCTCACATTCAGGTTCACAATAGCATCGTCGGTACGTCTACACACGTCTATATCTTATGCATCTGTGTTTTATGTAACCTACATGTCTTACATGTGTTTATATGTGCATTGCCTTACTGTAATGTATAATATGCTTTGTCACATGGCAGACAGTGTTACTAAGCGCCTTATTTTCTGTTCCTCAGTTTCACCTCTTATATCTTTGCAATAAAGACAAAGTTGGACGTTGCTTCTTTGTCAACTCATTGCCGAGAAAGGTTTAGCTGTCTGTCAAGCTATGTACCTTCACACATAAGGAGGACAGAACAGTGAAACGACGGCTTCTTACAAGCTGGATACGAGGACTGCGACTCCTGAAGTCCTGACTGCAGTGAAACGACGGCTTCTTACAAGCTGGATACGAGGACTGCGACTCCTGAAGTCCTGACTGCAGTGAAACGACGGCTTCTTACAAGCTGGATACGAGGACTGCGACTCCTGAAGTCCTGACTGCAGTGAAACGACGGCTTCTTACAAGCTGGATAGGCGCAGCATCGCCACCTGCAGCGTTGCAAGTGTGCTAACCAGTTCACAGCACCATCATGTCAGCAAGGGAATCCGGACAGTTCGAGACAAGGTCTCGCATCTCAGTTAACTCCAGAGGCTCAGGGAGATCTTTGAGCAGCTCCACGGTCGCCATTGCCCGCGCGAAGGCCGAGGCCGCCAAAACCCGCGCGACATTTGCCGAACAAGAAAGACAATTAAAAATAGAGAAAGCATGCACGGAAGCAGCTCTAGAAAAGCTAACTGTGGAAAAAGAAGCTGCAGCTGCTGTAGCAGAAGCAGAGGCTTTAGAGGAAGCAGCAAACTTCACAAGCGATAGACTCAGCTACATAAGTAGGCCCGAACCCAGTCTTCACAATAACTCGCAACGCACTTCAGATTAGGTACTGCAACATGCTAAGTCAGAAGACGGCCTAAATCCAGGTCCAAGAGCGACATCAACCCCTGCTAAGGAGCTCCAACAGACTCCAGTCATACAACAAGCGACCTCAGTTATCCAAAGACCCTGCATGGAACAAGTCGACGGTTCCATAGGACATCAACCCTCAATGCAACCTGCATTCAAACCCACAAATGATCGCAGTATGGTCAAACCCTTTAAGGAAGAACAAGTAGATGGTGCCTATTACAGCAACAATCTGTCAAACAGAGATACAGGTATGTCAGATTTTCTAAAATTCTTTGCCCGACGTGAGTTAATAACCAAGGGACTCTCCAAGTTTAATGACAGACCTGAAAGCTATAGGTCATGGCGATCATCATTCAGGAATAATATCAGAGTACTGGATCTGTCTGCATGTGAAGAAGTAGATCTTCTTGTCAAGTGGCTAGGAAATGAGTCGACAGAGCATGCAAGGCGGATTAGAGACATTAATATCAACTACCCAATCAGAGGGTTTAAACATGATATGGGAGAGACTTGAGGAGTGTTACGGCTCACCAGAAGTGATAGAGAACGCACTTTTCAAAAGAATTGAGGATTTCCCTAAGATCCAAAACAAAGATTCCCAGAAGCTAAGAGAACTGAGTGATCTGTTAACAGAGCTACAAGTTGCCAAAACTGAAGGAGACTTACAAGGTCTAGCATTCTTAGATACTGCACGTGGTGTAAACCCCATAGTACAAAAATTACCGTACAACCTGCAAGAGAAGTGGATTGCTCAAGGCTCCAGGTACAAGCAACAGTACGATGTCTCGTTCCCTCCATTCTCTTTCTTTATGGACTTCGTGCACCAACAAGCAAAAACTAGGAATGATCCCAGCTTTAACTTCGATGTTTGACACCGCTTACAGACTGGTACAAATCACATGCCCCTGATCTCATGCCACTACTCCAGCAATTGTACGCCTATTGCTTGGAAGAGGGAAGTCTGCCCCCTTCCATGTTGCAAGCTCATATTGTCCTAATCCCGAAACCTGGGGAAGATGCCACACAATGCTCCGCTAATCGACCCATATCTCTCCTTTAATTTTGATTTAAAAATACTCACTAAAAAATCCCTGCTACCAGATTGATAAAGATCCTCCGGTCTTTAGTGAATGCAGACCAAACCGGTTTCATGCGGGGTAAGTTAACGGATGTCAATATCCGTAGGGTCTTTGCTCATCTACAGATTTCTTCCAAGGACCAGGGTACTTGTAGCACTAGACCTAGAAAAGGCTTTTGACGTCGTACCTTGGCCTTACATGGAAGTTGTGCTTGAAGAATTTGGCTTCAGCCCCATCTTCCGTAAATGGACCACCATCCCATACCAATGACCAGTGGCCCAAATCAAGCTTGGTGGGGCTTTATCCTCTTATTTTCCAATTGAATGAGGAACTAGATAAGGATGTCCCCCCTCTCTCCGGCCCTATTTGCCCTCATGGTGCAACCTATATCCTATAGTCCTCTGGTGCAGAGTTTTGGGTGTCTGGGCCGGATCCATAGAGGAGAAGCTTGCCCTTTATGCCAATGAAATCAGTCTTGTCCTCCGGGATCCAGGCCCTTCACCCAGTGAAGCGCTAGACCTACTTTCCTATTTTGGTAGCATGACCATGTTAAAAGTCAACTGGGACAAGTCCCTCATTCTTCCAGTGGATCCAGATGCTGTTAAGGTAGCAGATCTGTCACCCTCTCTGCTGTGGATGGATACAATTAAGTATTTAGGGGTGCACATCTCAGCCAGGATACAAGATTTTTGCAAACTCAATCTTTCTCCTCGCCTACAATTCTCCAAAACTAAAGGCTTGGAGTAACTTATCCTTGTCACCGATAGGCAGAATAAACCTGCTTAAAATGATGCTGCTTCCCCTACTGCTGTATGTTTTCTCTCCTGTATAGATATCAAAATCAGTTTTCAAACATTTTAATTTGCACATCAGCAATTTCCTCTGGGGCTCTTGCTCACCTCGGTTCTGGCTATCCCTGCTCCAGAGACCCTGGAAGCCAAGGCGGCCTAGCCTGCCCAAACTTCTTTTTATATTTTATAACTGTAATGCACTTGCATGCCCATAATTGGCTTATTTCGGACGCCTCCAACCCTGTGGTTGCTATGGAGGCTGCCTATGTGGGATCCTATGAAACTCTGAGGAGTTCTTTCTTCAGAGGTCTTAAAGCTCCACATCCTCTTACGAAATCTATGAAAAAAGGTAGTCAGAGCATGGACTCACATCACCCCTCCTGTGGGGAACCGTTCCACATGGTATTCCTCTGATAACCCTTTGTGGCTAAACTCCACTCTACCTGAATTTATCTCCATACCTACTCCCTCCTTTTGGGTTACAAATGCCATCCATTATTAGGCCCATATCTGTGAGAGTGGCGTATTGCAGACCTCTGATAATCTCAAACAAAAATTTGCATTGTGCAATTCTCACTTCTTCTGGTTCCTCCAGTTGCGCTATGCCTATGTAGCACAGATTGGGAGCTCTCCTTTAACCATACAACAGTTCAACATGGAGTCGCTGCTCCAGGAGGAATCCCTTAAGAAACCATGTATAAGGCCTTACAGCCAACTGTGCACCATTGACTAGACAGTCTGTGATCTTTTTGGGTGGCGGGGTGGACGACAAGGATTGGGAGGATATATGGGAATATCCATTCTCTCAATAGCTGTCCTCCAGGGATCACCTGATCCAGTTTAAAATACTCCATAAGTTTCATTTCACACCCCATAGGCGCCACAAGATTTATCCGGACTGCCCACCATATTGTTGGCGTTGCTGAGCACATTCGGCTGATTATCTCCATATGATTAGATCGTGCCCCTCCCTACAACTATTTTCAAAAAGTGCCCTACATTTTATCACATATCTGACCACTATCCCTATCTCCCAACAGGTGGACATCTGTATATTTGGGTTGGTAGAGGCCTTGGCTCCCACCAGAGCAGATTGCATTGGGATTTGGGTTTACTATTCTATGCTCGAAAATCCATCATACTCAAATAGAGAGTCTCAATGGTCCCCACTCTGAACACTTTGGAAGTCGCTGGTAAACTCTGGTATACCTTATTATAAAGAAAACTATTTGAACAGAAGGTGCCCCAAAAATTTAACAAAGCATGGAGTCTGACACTACCACTGGTTGGAGTCTGACACTACCACTGTGGGGAAAGGTGACCCTGTAGATATCCCACCATATCTTTCTGTACAGATCTGGTTTCAACCATATTCCAGCTCTACACGTTAACTACCTCATGCAATTTGACCAGGTGTCATGCTAATTTGTAGTATATAGACATCTGTATGCAAGGAGCTGGAGGGTGGCCAACAATCCCAATGATGTGTCTCCTTTCTTTTTTAGCATTTTTAATGTGGGTGAACGTCTACATTACTGTCTTTGCGTAGCAATCACAGGGTAGTTTAGTTTACTTGTGTGTTTTTGTTTTTTTGTTTTGTACTCTCTTTTGATCTGGGTATGCCCAGAGGCTCTGTTTTGTGCTCTTTGAAATATAAAATAATAAAACGAATTTAAAGAAAAAAAATGGCTTTGAATATACTTCAGAGGTTAACTGCAAAGAAAGTAACATTTTGGCTCTGAGTAGATTCTTGCAATCTGCATCACATGCTAGTTTTTTATATTCTAGGGTATCTTCATTGCTTGGATAGCCCAACCTGGATTCCCTGTTCATGCCTGACATCCATGGCCATTACAAAACTGACCAATGGTCAAATTTCCCCAACATACACTCCACAAATGTAGTACAAACAGATAACATCTACACCTCCTCTCTTGGCCAACTGATACACTCCCACGGCTTCAACTACCACCTCTACGCCGATGACATGCAAATCTACCTCTCCACCCCTCGCCTCACCCCTACAGTCTCCGCCCGAATCACCTGCCTACTGAATGACATATCAGACTGGATGTCACTCCACTTCCTCAAACTAAACCTTTCCAAAACCGAGCTCCTAGTTCTAGTTTTCCCCCCAGCCCGCGACCCCCCCCCCCCCCCCAACCTCTCCATCATGACCAATAACGCCACCATCAGTCCCACCCGCAAGCCAAAGTTCTAGGTGTCACTCTAGACTCCAATCTGTCCTTCCAGCCCCATGTCTAATCGCTGGCAAACTCATGCAGGCTCCACCTCCGCAACATCTCCAAAATACGTTCGTTCCTAACCCCAGCCACTACTACTACAACTCCCTTCTCACCGGCTTACCTCATCACAGACTATCCCCGCTTCAGTCTATCCTGAACTCTGCGGCCAGACTCATCCACCTTACCAACCGCTCCGTATCCGCCACCCCCTTCTGTCATTCCCTCCACTGGCTTCCGATTGCCCAACGCATAAAATTAAAACTACTAACATTGACGTACAAAGCTATTCATAATACTGCCCCAAACTACCTCACCGACCTGATATCCAAATACCACCTAACACGTACTCTTCGCTCCTCACAAGACCTCCTACTCTCTAGCTCCCTGGTCTCCTCCTCCCATGCCCGACTCCAGGACTTCTCCAGGTCTTCCCCCATCCTCTAGAACTCACTACCCCAATCCATCAGACTGCTCACATTTAGGCGCACCCTGAAAACCCATCTCTTCAGGGAAGCCTACCCTGCCCTCACCTAACTGCCGATCTCCTCCACTCCTCCTACCACTCCATCCCCCACAGCCATTTCCTCCTGTACCACTATCCCCTCCCTCCTAGATTGTAAGCTCCAAGGAGCAGGGCCCTCGAACCCCTCGTGTATTGTTTTGTTACTGTATTGTCTCATGTGCTGTCTCCCACTATAATATAATATTGTGAGCAGATCCAACCAATACAACAGCCTTTCTCAACCTTTTTTCCGCAAAGAATTCTTGAAATACATTTCAGATATCAGGGAACTCCTGCCAAAATGAATTCACCTGGGGTCAGTGGGAACAATGCTTATATTGGTGGTCAGCGGTAAGCATGCCCCCATTACATTGGTGGTCAGAATGCCACCCTTACATAAAGCTAAAAAGATAATGAAATCCTGCCGCTAGCACTTCAAGGTGGTGTTGCACCCCAGAACTATGTATCCACCATCATTTGGGAGGTCAATCAGCCACAGCTCAAGGAACCCTTAGCAAATCTCTGGAGCAACACTAGGGTTCCACCGAACCCTGGTTGAGAATGGCCGCACACAGGCTGCCTACAGAAAATTAGAAGAGCTGGGCAGATGCAAGAGCAATCACCCTGTACTAGGAGACAGAGCAACAGTGACTGGTCTTCATTACAGGAAGCTCCTGCAAAATGTTTCACACTGAAAACACATCAAGATTCAAGCAAGAATACACATCTTTAGGCAATATTTGCTTATCCCAGAATTCAGCTCTAAGCATAAGAAGAGTTTGTGATAGCTCCTACTCTTGGTTCTCATCTGAGCACATCAATGGTAGTAGAGTCAGGGCTGAAATTTTTGTAACATCCCCTATAAGGATTCAGCAAGTGATGCAAACACAGATGCCCAACAAGAATTGAAACATCAGCAGTGGGAAAACATAAATGATTAAAAGTACATGATTAGATAATACATTGATACCTCTGACAAGGGAGTCTTCACTTTTTGCAGGAATTGTTTGATCATCTCCTCTGGCTTTTTACCTGTTGAAAAGGCAGAGGTCAGTGTTTTAAGATGGGAGAGGAAAACACAAATAATAACCACCAATGCACAAAAATGAAAAGCCCCAAAATTTGGCAGAGGAATTAGAAATGACACTGCACTTCCTCTGGTGTCCATCCTGTGGCAGTAATTGACCATATAGCGTAACTCCCAGTATCGTAAGGTTACCGGCTTAGGGCCTCTCAGTAAAATCCCCCTGTAAGATGCATGCACTGTATGTATAAAGGAGTAATACAGCATATACAATTTTGTTAAAAATATTGTACCATGAGGATGTACAGTCAGGTCCATAAATATTGGGACATTGACACAATACTAAAATTTTTGACTCTCTATACACCACCACAATGGATTGAACAAGATGTGCTTTAACTGCAGACTGTCAGCTTTAATTTGAGGGTATTTACATCCAAATCAGGTGAGCGGTGTAGGAATTACAACAGTTTGTCTCCCACTTGTTAAGGGACCAAAAGTAATGGGACAATTGGCTTCTCAGCTGTTCCATGGCCAGGTATGTGTTATTTCCCCATTATCCCAATTACAATGAGCAGATAAAAGGTCCAGAGTTCATTTCAAGTGTGCTATTTGCATTTGGAATCTGTTGCTGTCAACTCTCAAGATGAGATCCAAAGAGCTGTCACTATCAGTGAAGCAAGCCATCATTAGGCTGAAAAAACAAAACAAACCCATCAGAGAGATAGCAAAAACATTTGGCGTGGCCAAAACAACTGTTTGGAACATTCTTAAAAAGAAGGAACGCACTGGTGAGCTCAGCAACACCACAAGACCCGGAAGACCACGGAAAACAACTGTGGTGGATGACCGAAGAATTCTTTCCCTGGTGAAGAAAACACCCTACAGTTGGCCAGATCAGGAACACTCTCCAGGAGGTAGGTGTATGTGTGTCAAAGTCAACAATCAAGAGAAGACTTCACCAGAGTGAATACAGAGGGTTCACCACAAGATGTAAACCATTGGTGAGCCTCAAAAACAGGAAGGCCAGATTAGAGTTTGCCAAACGACATCTAAAAAAGCCTTCACAGTTCTGGAACAACATCCTATGGACAGATGAGACTGAGATCAACTTGTACCAGAGTGATGGGAAGAGAAGAGTATGGAGAAGGAAAGGAACTGCTCATGATCCTAAGCATACCACCTCATCAGTGAAGCATGGTGGTGGTAGTGTCATGGCGTGGGCATGTATGGCTACCAGTGGAACTGGTTCTCTTGTATTTATTGATGATGTGACTGCTGACAAAAGCAGTAGGATGAATTCTGAAGTGTTTCGGGCAATATTATCTGCTCATATTCAGCCAAATGCTTCAGAACTCATTGGACGCACCTTCACAGTGCAGATGGACAATGAACCAAAGCATACTGCAAAAGCAACCAAAGAGTTTTTTAAGGGAAAGAAGTGGAATGTTATGCAATGGCCAAGTCAATCACCTGATCTGAATCCGATTGAGCATGCATTTCACTTGCTGAAGACAAAACTTCAGACAGTTGCAGTAGAGGCCTGGCAGAGCATCACCAGGGATGAAACCCAGCGTCTGGTGATGTCTATGCGGTCCAGACTTCAGGCTGTAATTGACTGCAAAGGATTTGCAATCAAGTATTAATAAGTGAAAGTTTGATTTATGATTATTATGCTGTCCCATTACTTTTGGTCCCTTAACAAGTGGGAGGCACATATGCAAACTGGTGTAATTCCTACACCGTTCACCTGATTTGGATGTAAATACCCTCAAATTAAAGCTGACAGTCTGCAGTTAAAGCACATCTTGTTCATTTCATTTCAAATCCATTGTGGTGGTGTATAGAGCCAAAAAATTTAGAATTGTGTCGATGTCCCAATATTTATGGACCTGACTGTATGTGTGCACCCACCAGTCAAGAATCAACTTGTGATTCTCAACCTGCCTGTTGCCTAATTTAAGCAAAGGACTAGACTAAAAGACTATCACTATTGCAAGGTGTGCTGGGGAAGATCCTTATTTCCTCAGGACTGTCCTATAGGAAAGCTTACTGCAAGTTTTTCAAATAATTAAATAAATATCTTGAAAATAGTAACTATGAAAAATGACACAAAAAAAGGAAGACATACTCTTTTTGTTGCTTATCTTCCGACTGCTCCCTTGGATTCCAGGTACTGGTCGGATGTCCCTTTTCTTTACTGGTGGTGGTTGAAATATTGGGGTAGCAGGAATAGAAAGACAAACGGGAAGCCCTGCTGCACTCATTAGAAGTCCACTAATACCTAAGAAACAAACAGATTAGTTTGGGTTAGTTGAGGGCATCAGATCAAATCTCAACCGTGACCTCTCATGGTGAGTTAAGGCAGGCTTCCATCATAAACAATCATTTTGTAGAACCCCTCTGCTTTCTAATTTGTTTTTCAGAATTAGTGTCCCCATTAAAGCCATCCAAAGCCACTAAAAGAGAAAGTGCCTGAGCTCTCAAAGTGCAGTAGTTGCTCGGCTATAGTTTATTAGTCTCAAGTTTTTGGACAACAGTATTCTTCAGAAGATACTGTATGAATGCAGGCAAATCTGATATTTCAAAAGGGCTGTTTTTGCTTTTTATAGTAACCAAAGGGTCCTCCAATACTATTTTGGTGTTTTGTAGATGATTGGTATTAAACCTGACAGTTTCTAACTTCCTGGATCTGCACACTTGCTGTGCCCATTAGGTGTTTCCACTCTGTTGGATGTGTACCTATTTTTTATTATGCAGAATGTAACAGAAGGTGCTGAAAGACAAAAGGGTGGGTTATAACACCCAAAACTCCCAAGTGAACAGAATCTGGAATTGTGGTAGAGAGTAGGGATGCACTGATACTAGTTTGAGTATGAGTACCAGTACTTTTTCTCAAGTGCTAGCCGATACCAATTACCGATACCTATATTTAGTGTCATGTACAAGTATTTTTTAGACTAATGAAAAATGATTACTGGTTCTCTATAATTATGAAGATGTTTATAAATGAATCATTTAGTATCGGTTATAGTATTGGAGGATTGGCACAAGTATAAGTACTTGTGCAAATGCTTAGTATTGGCACCAATACCGATATTGGTGCAATGCTAGTAGAGAGATCTTCCTACTGGAGTATGAGACATATAAGGAGCCAGGGGGTGATCTGATATGTCTGCTAAGCATATTCGGGACACAAATGGAGTTGGTACATTCTTTTTAAATGCTTGTACCCATAAGACTGTGTCTGCCAACTCTAGTTTACAAGTGTTTAATGATTTTAGCTGTATGTGCACCATAGGTCAGCCAGTATACAGTATAGCATAGTAATTTTTACCTGCTAGGGCTGGTGGGATCATTCCTGAGCCTTCTATGTTACTGAGAGGCACTGGAGGCACCCTGTAAAGCGCAAAAAAAAAAAAAAAAATTTTTAAAGGCATTTTGTATGCAATGTGTATCAAACAACACAATAAGCTTCAGAACTTACCTAGTGACACCTTTACTCTTTTGACATCGTTGGCTGTCATGATGCTGAGTTTTGGCTGGTCTGCTGTCCATTTGTCGCCCTGGCCAGCTTGCAGATTTCACACTCTGCACTAGAAGACACTGTGGGCAAGCGCAGGGTGGAGGGCTCCTGCTTCCTCTAAGTGAAGCTGAACGGGACAGGTTTCTGCCACCTAAATTAGGCTTTGCATGGCTGATTCTATGGTGAGGGCTAGCTGAACTTGGCTTGGAGTCAGTGGACGTGGACCTTGATTGAGACCTAAGTAGTTCAGGCCTACTATCTTCAGGTCTGGAATTGGATCTTACATATCCTGGCCTACAAGCTACATTTCTACAGTCTGTTTTGACTGGGGAAGGGCCTGATCTCATCATACCTAGAGGCAGACCTAGATAGTGCAGGTCTAAAGTCAGCTGGTCTAACATCACATGCAGAAAATTCATACTTAGAGTCAGACCTTACTAATTCAGGTTTAGGCTCACCAGGTCTAGAATTTGACCTCACAAATCCAGATGTGTATTCATTATGCCCAGAACTTGATCTGAGAAATACAGGCCTACTTTCTGAAGGCCTAGATTCTGACCTGTGTATCACAGCTTGGTGTTCTTCTGGTCTCGAGTTAGCCCTACTTAATGCTGGCCTGTAGTCACCAGGCCTGGATTCTGATCTTGCTAGCTCAGGTCTTGAGTCTCTGCATCTTGAATCTGACCTTGTTAGCCCAGATCTTGAATTTGACCGCCTAGAGTTAGACCTTGCTAATGCAGGGCTAGATTTATAAATATTACAGTCATGTTGTACAGGGGCCCATTGTGGGCTGATATCCGAGTCAAGCAACATTGAGTTTGGACTCCCTGATTCAGCACTAGACTCATCGGAAGTGGTTTCACAGTAAGAAGAAGGTCCATAATTTGGCAGAATCACATTAGCATCAAAATTAATAAGTTCTTGGCTGCTTTCTTCTAGGTCTCGGTTGTAGTTTACTAATCCGTCATTAGAATTTACAAATCCATGATTAGAATGTATAGGACCAGCACTGTAATTCACTGCTCCAGAATTAAAGTTCACTGATATCTGATTGGCATTCAAAAGCTCATGGCTCGAATTTTGCAACATGAGGCTAGGATCAACCATCCCATACCTGGAGCACAATGGCTCTTGTCTAGAGTTTATTGTCGTCTGGTGATTGTTCATGGGTACACGATTGAAGCTGACTAAAAAATGGTTTGAGTTCATTGGTCCTTGATTTGAGTTTGGCAATTCTCTGTTGACATTCATAAGACCTTGATTGGCATTCACCAGACCTTGGTTTATTATTTCTTGATTGGTGCTTAGGGTTCTTCTTCTGGAGTTTATTAATCCATGATTAGCATTAACTAGCTCTTGGTTAAAATTTACTAGTCCACGGCTTGTGCCAGCAGGTTGTTGTTGAGCTGTTAAGGACTTACGTTTGTAATCTGAACAGGCATTAAGATATTGGGGTAATGCAACGTGGTATGCTGGAGGACAATTTATGCCAGCTTTTGGGTAAGGCATCTGGGCTCGAGCTCTAACCCTAATCCTCCTCTGAGAAGGAAATTCTATTTGGGTCATGGTCTGAAAGCAGATATGAGATCCACTGCAGGGTTCCCCAAGGCGCACACCCGTTTGCTGCCTCTCCAGAGCATCCTGGATCAAGATAGACAGTCTTGTTTCAAAAGGGACCCACTGACGTGGAAGCTCCTCCCATTCCCACACTATGCCCCTACCAGGAGCACTTGAAAGTGGGAAATTCACCCTCCTGACTGGATACAGGGTACCTGTGTAAAGAAATAATAGAAAAGGTTAGAAGGAGTCACCAAAACAACAAACTGGTGCAAATATTATCATTAGACATAGGGATGAAAAGGAGCCAAAGAAACAGCAAGGATAAAAAAACATATTGACCTATTCCCATGTATCTTATGCAGGCCATAGACGGCTCGAAAACCGGGGCGTTTTTTCGTCCGATAAAAGAAAAATCGGTCGTTCGTTAAACCGGCGTTTCCACCAACGATTACGAAAATCAGCTGACCAAGTCATAAAGTTCACCCCATATAACAGGCAAAACTTCTGTTCTTTCCAGGTCACGGCTCATGCGCATATTTTTTTCTGTAAAAACGATCATACGATTTGTCCATCATTGACGCGAAAATCGGTCATTTTCCAGGAATTTTCCGACATGACCGATAATCCAAAAATGGAAAAAAAAAAAGCAAAAACAGGTCGACGAATTAACCCACTAACAGTGTGAAAATCGGCCGATTTTCGAACCGTCTATGGCCAACATAACTCTTTGCATACTTTTGTATCTAACATTTTCATACTAGTATGCGCTTCTACTGTGGTGTCACTGCCTAATAACAGCACCCAATAAGGACATAGTCTATATATGCAATACTGGGTTGTAGACATCACTTGAAGTGGGGAACCTTGCCTCATATGCCCTGGCAGTCTTAAAGTGAATTTATGCTTTGCCCATGAAAGGCTTTTGGCTCTATTTCATAATGAATACATAAAAAGAAAACATTAAAAGGGAATGTATAATGTTTTTGTATACGAATTTCTTCATTTATTATGTCCAGGTATTATTATTATTTTTTTACATGTATTTATACAGCGCTGACAATTTATGCATCGCTTTACACACAGTATATATTGTACACTCACTTCAACCCATATATATATATATATATATATATATATATATATATATATATATATTACAGTTTAAGAAAGTGTGGAAACTTTTTGAAGAACTCTCATAAAAGTGATCCAAAGCCTTTAACGTTTCCCTTTAAAAACACAATTACCCTAGTACCAAAGGAATATTGGAGGAACCCTCCTGCATACATTCTTATAATGCATGGTATTAAGGGCTTTTTGAACTGAGGTTCATAAAATAATCCTCCAGCCGACTACAGTGGACCCTGGTACAGATCCTATTGGATATTCTTTACATGTCAACCAGGTTTCCATCAAACGATATAAGTGCTCTTTGACAGTCCACTTGCTGAACGCATTCCAGCTCTCTGAAAGCAAATGACCCCCCCCATGTCAGACCAGTGGTTTTTCAAGATGAAAGAGATAAGGTCAATGGAAGAGCTGACAGTGACCTTACATAACAGAGAGGCTAGATTTCATGATATATGGCTTCTATCGATGGCGTTTACCTGTTCTGTCCATTACACGTCTATTCTGCATCTGACACCAACAACACGTTAGCTTTATTGAGTAGTAATTGTTTGTTTATCACCTTTAGACCTGCAGATGGTGCTTTCAGGCATGGGGGCTGGTGAAGGCTGTTTGCTTATATTTTTCTCTATACTTTCACATTATAGTAATCCCTCCCCCACATCCTTCCCCCTACCCTCTCCCCCTTTTTTTTCCTTCTTTCCTTTCCATAGCACCTGAATTTTCATTTCATCACAAGACTTTCCCCCCTTTTCACGCCTTTGGGAGTTTCTCTTTCAAACCTTTTCCTTTAAAGTGGTTTGACAATAGTAAAACTCAGGAAACATGTAAGAGGGGTATTGCGATTAGCTGATGTTGGTTCCAAAAGTTCTGTCTTTGCTAGAACACTGTCCTTCCTGCTGAGGCCAAACCCTCCACCATCCTGTGCCCTGTCCATGCCAGACATTCCCAGTCATTGATTTTTATATACCCAAAGAAGGAATATCCACACATCAATAGAGTTGCTGCATTTTATTGGTGGTACTTGGAAAATGGCATAATAGTCACATCATGCCAAGATGCTATCCGGGGTCACTTAACAGTATATTGTTAATAACATTTAGTGGATGGTCCGCAGTAATCACATGTGAAAACATCAGGCAGCACGTTAAGTAAGCCAACTTCCCTCTGACATTCTCTCCCTTAACCTAGAGTAATTAGCACTCACTGGAATGGGATTTCTGCAGTCACCTCCTCTATAGGTACAACTCTCCTGGGCCCTCCAGGGGAGTAGCCTCATTCCAGGGAACTCTTGCCCTGGCCTAAAAGGCCTTTTGCAACCTGCCCTAGCCTCCACCTCCATAAGGGTCAGAAAGTTTACAGCTGGCTCTCCTAGGTGCAGGTCTACTTCCCCCAGGCTTTCCAGCCCTGTTCAGGGCCTCCACATGCTGGTTACATCTGTATAGGTGTGGAGTGTTTGGCTCCCATGCTCCATCTGCACTAAGGCTCTTCCCAACCTAGCTTATCCATGGCACTGACTTATCCATGGCATCACTACAGGAGGACTCTAACTAAAAGGGGTCTAGCACCTGATGACACTATCTTCTTCTAGAACAGAGAAGCCTAGGGGCAGACTAGCCAACTACACCTGCCTACACACGGTGACAACCAAAACATATATTCTTATGTTTCTTTGTTGTATGATACACAGCCTCAATAGTCTTTCCAAGGGACATCTTATACTAACATTTTCCGATGTGTGCATATGTTTTTCCAATCTTTTCAGGTTAGCTGTGACAGGCTTTATGGTCACTCTTTTGATTAACTTACAAGACAATACATGATCACCTGTATGTCAGGTATACTTTGGGATAGATTTACTAAAACTAGTCCATGGTAGCCAATCAGCTTCTAACTTCAGCTTGTTCAATTAAGCTTTGGCAATAAAACCTGGATGCTGATCGATTTCTCTACAAAGCTGCACAAGTTTTAGTAAATATCCCCTTTTGTGTTTTTATAGGTGTATTTGCTGTAATGATATCTAACTGGATTGTATTCGTACAGAATGTATAATGGCTGTGGATTTATATGTATATGCCCTGCCCAAAATACAGAATTAAAAAAAACACAATCACATCCCTTAAATACATATCGATAATAAGATTAGGTTACAATAAGTTGTTTCTTCTTACATATACAGCTAGCAGTAATAATAAAAGCAGTATTAAGGAAAAAGTCATAATTCTGTTCGAGACACCTGTCCAAACTTTTAAAGCAATGTTTCCTTTTAAATTCCCCAGCTGTGAATGGCACTGGGAATTCTAGTTGAAGACCCTTCTGTTTGCAAATCATGAAAAGAACTGATGGCTCTTTGTTTAAAGTAGGTGCAGCTCTGCACGAAAAGAGTCCCATGGTGCAGCCTGCGGGCCATGGGAAGCCTTTCATAAGGGACTTCAGAGAGAAAAATGACATTCCTGAAAGACCATGTAAAAACCTCCATTGTCATTTACCGATCAATGCTACATTTATCTGATATATGGCAGCACTTAAAGGGATGTTCCCTTGTATGACTAGGGTAGAATGCTGACGGCCCTTTGTTTGGGAAAATGTTAACGGTCATGCACGGTTTCCTTTTTGTGCTTCTCTGAATTATTAACTTTAATTTGCCTTACATGCAACAGCCATTCAGTGGAGTCCTCCTCCCTAAACTGGTCTTTTATCTGGTCACAGATGTTGATGGGTCAAATCATCCACTGTTTGTTATTACGGTATGTAAAGATTCAGAAGACAAACATTCATTCAACGTTCTGTCAGAACCAACATTAACTTTTTCAGCAATTTATTATTATTATTATTATTATACAGTATTTATATAGCACCAAAAGGTTTGCTCAGTGCTGTACATTATAGTGGGGGACAGTACATGAGACAATACAGTAGCAAAACAATACACGAGGGGTTCCAGGGCCCTGCTCTTTCGAGCTTACAATTTAAGCTACAGTATCTCTTCTACTGGATCAGACTACGCAGGTCAGCTTTTGCTACCATGAGCCTTGGCCTCCCATGACCCTGTCGCCTTCTTTGAACCAATTTTCATTGGTCCTGACCACTGCAGACCAGGAACCACCAACAAGAGCTGCAGTTTTTGGAGTTTCTCTGATTCAGTTGTCTAGCATTACAGTTTGGCTCTTGTCAAATTCGCTCAAATTCTTACCCTTGTGGGGAGGTGCAGAATGGTGTGGCGGCAAAGTCTAGTTGCAGGAAGCCGAAGTCCAAACTTTACAAACAGCCCGGTGGGAAGGCACCCAACTGGAAACACTTACAGGTTGAATAGTCAATGTGAAATAAATCAAGTCTTGGGCATGCCGACAGTGTCTTTCTTGGAGGGCAGTATGTGTCCTGGCCAGTCTGAGCCCATATGGGAGGATTCCAGGAAGGATGATGTGTCCCTATCCTTTCCGTACTCATCTGGAACCTTTCCCTAAAGCTATTCACTGTCCCTGATAGACAGGTGACCTGTCACTACACTACCCGCTCGCAAAATGCGTGCCAAGCCCGGGAGCCAAGGTCTTAAATAGACTCTGCCTCAGCCAAGATGGCTTCTCAGTCTGCAATGCCGCTGTGGTTGAGCGCCACCTGCAGTGGAGAAAACAAACTGCACCTGCCTACACGCCCATTTTTTTCTGCTTTCAACACATTAACTTCAGGGATGACTTGCTGCCTATTATCCAACCCACTTTCATCGTCAAGCCCGGGAGCCAGGGTTATAAATAGAGTCTGCCTGACCCAAGATGGCCACCAGAGTCTCATGGGGTGGTAGCATCCAAATGGCCGGTTTCTACAGTGACCAGTAAAACATAGAGGAGCGTGTTCCTCTTGACTTCTTTTCCCTCTGCAATGGCCCTGCGGTTGAC